TGCTTCGAAACAATGAACCTTCGCAAAGGTGCACAGTTAGGGGGAACACTTTTCTTGAAATTATTGCGAGGGATCATCTTATTTTAGCTACCGTAGTTCTAAGCAAATAAGATGTAAAACATGATAAACATCACATGCAATCAAATAGTGACATGATATGGCCAATATCATTTTGCTCCTTTTGATCTCCATCTTCGGGGCGCCATGATCATCATCGTCACCGGCATGACACCATGATCTCCATCATCATGATCTCCATCATCATGATCTCCATCATCATGATCTCCATCATCGTGTCTTCATGAAGTTGTCTCGTCATCTATTACTTCTACTAATATGGCTAACAGTTTAACAATAAAGTAAAGTAAATACATGACGTTTATGTTGACACGCAGGTCATAAATAAATTAAGACAACTCCTATGGCTCCTGCCGGTTGTCATACTCATCGACATGCAAGTCGTGATTCCTATTACAAGAACATGATCAATCCCATACATCACATATATCATTCATCACATCCTTTTGGCCATATCACATCACACGGCATATGCTGCAAAAACAAGTTAGACGTCCTCTAATTGTTGTTTGCATGTTTTACGTGGCTGCTATGGGTTTCTAGCAAGAACGTTTCTTACCTACGCAAAAACCACAACGTGATATGCCAATTTCTATTTACCCTTCATAAGGACCCTTTTCATCGAATCCGATCCGACTAAAGTGGGAGAGACAGACACCCGCTAGCCACCTATGCAACTAGTGCATGTCAGTCGGTGGAACCTGTCTCACGTAAGTGTACGTGTAAGGTCAGTCCGGGCCGCTTCATCCCACGATGCCGCCGAATCAAGATAAGACTAGTAACGGCAAGTAAATTGACAAAATCGATGCCCACAACTACTTTGTGTTCTACTCGTGCATAGAAACTACGCATAGACCTAGCTCATGATGTCACTGTTGAGGAACGTAGCAGAATTTTAAAATTTTCTATGCATCACCAAGATCAATCTATGGAGTCATCTAGCAACGAGAGAGAGGAGTGCATCTACATACCCTTGTAGATCGCGAGCAGAAGCGTTCAAGAGAACGGGGTTGATGGAGTCGTACTCGTCGTGATCCAAATCACCGATGACCGAGCACCGAACGAACGACACCTCCGCGTTCAACACACGTACGGTTGGGGAAGACGCCTCCTCCTTCTTGATCCATCAAGGGGGAAGGAGAGGTTGATGGAGATCCAACAGCACGACGGCGTGGTGGTGGAAGCAGCGGGGATCTCGGCAGGGCTTCGCCAAGCTCAGCGAGAGGGAGAGGTGTTACGAGGGGAGAGGGAGGTGCCAGGGGCTAGGGTGCGGCTCCCATGCGCCTCCCCACTATATATAGGGGTGGAGGGGGCTGGTTTCTTGCCCTCCAAATCCATTGGGGCGTTGGCAAAGGTGGGGGAAAGAAATCCCATCATTTCCCTTCCCCATCGATTGTTATCCCCCCTTTTTAGGGATCTTGATCTTATCCCTTCGGAATATGATCTTATTCCTTCTAAGGGGGGATCTTGGTGCGCCTTGACCAGGGGTGTGGGGCCTTGCCCCCACTACCCACGTTCATGTGGGTCCCCCCGTGCAGGTGGGCCCCACTATGGAACCTTCTAGAACCTTCCCGGTACAATACCGAAAAATCCCGAACATTTTCCGGTGGCCAAAATAGGACTTCCCATATATAAATCTTTACCTCCGAACCATTCTGAAACTCCTCGTGACATCCGGGACTCCGAACAACTTTCGGGTTACCGCATATCTCTACAACCCTAGCGTCACTGAACCTTAAGTGTGTAGACCCTACGGGTTCGGGAGACATGCAGACATGACCGAGATGACTCTTCGATCAATAACCAACAACGGGATCTGGATACCCATGTTGGCTCCCACATGTTCCACGATGATCTCATCGGATGAACCACGACGTCGAGCATTCAATCAATCCCGTATTCAATTCCCTTTGTCCAGCGGTATTGTACTTGCCCGAGATTCGATCGTCGGTATCCGATACCTTGTTCAATCTTGTTACCGGCAAGTCTCTTTACTCGTTCCGTAACACATCATCCCGTGATCAACTCCTTGGTCACATTGTGCACATTATGATGATGTCCTACCGAGTGGGCCCAGAGATACCTCTTCGTCACACGGAGTGACAAATCCCAGTCTCGATTCGTGCCAACCCAACAGACACTTTCAGAGATACCCGTAGTGCACCTTTATAGCCACCCAGTTACGTTGTGATGTTTGGCACACCCAAAGCATTCCTACGGTATCCGGGAGTTGCACAATCTCATGGTCTAAGGAAATGATACTTGACATTTAGAAAAGCTTTAGCATACGAACTACAGGATCTTTGTGCTAGGCTTAGGATTGGGTCTTGTCCATCACATCATTCTCCTAATGATGTGATCCCGTTATCAACGACATCCAACGTCCATGGTCAGGAAACCGTAACCATCTATTGATCAACGATCTAGTTAACTAGAGGCTTACTAGGGACATGGTGTTGTCTATGTATCCACACATGTATCTGAGTTTCCTATCAATACAATTCTAGCATGGATAATAAACGATTATCATGAACAAGGAAATATAATAATAACCAATTTATTATTGCCTCTAGGGCATATTTACAACAAAACTAAAACTAAAACCCTAAACTATCCTATACTTCACGGTGATCTCGTAGCCAATGCTGGGCTGGTCGGCTGCTCCTCCTCCGTCATCATCGCCTGAACCGTCGTCAGAGTCGGGCTTGGGGCGACGAAAGGTGGTGGCGCGGTGGCAGGGCTTCCCGGCGGCCTCCTAATGCTCGCGGATGATCCTCTCCACCTCCTCCTGCGTCGTGCACAGTGCAGTCGCGGCCACCGAGGATGTGGGTTGGGGGAGAGGGCAGCGATCTCAGCGAGGAACTATTCCTCGCCGTACCTGGCTATCTCCCTGTCGAGGCGGCGAAGACGGCGCTTGGCCGTCTCCGACGTCATCACGGAGCGGTTCAGGGTCCGCCATTATGTGTGGCGCGCGGGACGTCGAAATCCGTGAACTGGGATTGGCCCACGATGTTGCACCTGTCTCATCGCCGCTGCTCCCGATCAGTGTACTCCTTCGTCGTCATGGTGCTCTAGGACAACGACGAGGAGGAGCCGCTGCAGGGGTAGTGCAGAATGCTCCCGCGTGCCTTGGGCAGGGGCGGCGGCGACGAACGACGCTCCTCCTTGACGATGCGGCGAGGTAGCGGCGAAAGGCGCTCCACCTTTACGACGTGTCGTGTCGGTGGCGAGAGCCGCTCTTCCTTCACGCGGCGTTCAATTTGGACACTGCTGCTGGGCGACGATGGAGAGCGTGGATGGGATGCCGGCTCCGACTTCATGGGAAGGAGCGCCCCCGGTGGCAGAGTCGGGTGTTGGTATGGGCAACAGATCGACGGAGCATCAGCTCCATCTGCTCCTCGAACTCCGCGTCGGTGTCGGCGTAAACCTAGCCCGACACCGCTGGCGTGGACTTCGGCGGCGACTGCTTGTCCTCCTTGCCCCCGCAGGAGATGATGATCTCCTCTCGCGTCGAGTCACCGCCAGCCGACGAGGACGACAGCGTCTCCACGAGTCGCCAGATCCTGCACCAGAACCGCCTGCCAGCATTGACGCCCAGGACTTGCCCATCGCCGAAGATGTGGAGAAGGGTGCGACGAGGAGGAGGAAGAGGAAGGAGGAGGATGTGATGTGGACGGCGCCGGAGCGCGGCTTAAATAGCCGCGACTAGGCCATGTGAAGGGCCGGTCAGCCGCTTCAATGCGGCGCAATGGCCAGAGTTGGTTCCTCGGGAACCTGCTCCGCATTGAAGCGGTGGCTGCCGAGAGGCCACGTCGGTCAGTGCCGCCCTCCCTCTGGTCACATTGCGGCATCAATGCCGGCTTCCGTGTGCTGTGGGCTGACATGAGTGCGGCTTGGTAAGCAACACGTGCATCGAAAGGAAAGCGCGGGAGGGGCATGTGGCGGGTTCTTGTTGGGTCAGGACGGTCAAAAACGGGCTTGAGAGCGGCCAGGACTCCCACAAACCTCCTCTATTTTTGTCTCTGGTTTGCGAGAGAAATCGCATCCAGATCGCCCCGCGAACCGATACAGGTCGACGTTGGATGGCTTCCGTGATCCGGACAACACGGTCCAAACAATTTTTTTTAAGGGATACACGGTCCAAACAGTTGCAAAAGACTTACGTATCCGACTTGAAGATACCCTAAGAATATAGCTGGCCAAATGGGCCGGGCTAACCAGGCTGGCCCGTGAGCGCCGGCACGGCCCGCCATGAACCTGACACGGGCTAAACGGGCCGGGTCCGGCACGCGGCACGCCCTGGGCCGTGTTTGGGACGGAAAGCAGTGGGTGGTCCCACGTTGACACGCCCCCAGAATATCAGCCGGGTGCTTTTCACGCGGAGGCAAAAGCGAAAACCCTAAAGCCGCCGCCCACACATCCCCAAGGAATAAAACCTCAAGGCCGCGGCTGACATCCCTCCAAGCTTACACCTAGCCGCCGTCGCCGACGAAATCCACCCAAGCCGCCGAGCTCGTCTCGCCGTCGTCGCGCTCTAGGCTTTTGGGATGGAGGCCGAGACGGCGGCGAAGAGGGCGCGGGAGAACGAGGGCGCTGCGGCGGCGGACGGAGCCGGGGAGCAGGCGGGGATCTCCGCCGTCATCCCCGGATGGTTCTCCGAGATCAGCCCCATGTGGCCCGGCGAGGCGCACTCGCTCAAGGTGGAGAAGGTCCTGTTCCAAGGCAAGTCGGACTACCAAGACGTGCTGGTTTTCCAGTCCTCCACCTACGGGAAGGTGCTCGTCCTGGATGGGGTGATCCAGGTGACCGAGAGGGACGAGTGCGCCTACCAGGAGATGATCACCCACCTCCCTCTCTGCTCAATCAAAGACCCCAAGAAGGTCCTGGTCATCGGGGGCGGGGACGGCGGCGTTCTGCGTGAGGTCTCGCGGCACTCCTCGGTGGAGCAGATCGACATCTGCGAGATCGACAAGATGGTGGTCGATGTGTCCAAGCAGTTCTTCCCTCATCTGGCCCTCGGGTTCGAGGACCCTCGCGTCTCCCTGCACATCGGCGACGGCGTCGCCTTCCTGAAGAATGCTCCAGAGGGCACCTACGATGCGGTTATCGTCGATTCCTCCGACCCAGTAGGCCCTGCCCAGGAGCTGTTCGAGAAGCCGTTCTTTGAGTCCGTCTCCAGGGCTCTGCGTCCGGGCGGGGTCGTCTGCACCCAGGCGGAGAGCATATGGCTGCACATGCACATCATAGAGGACATCGTCACCAACTGTCGCCAGGTTTTCAAAGGCTCGGTGAACTACGCATGGACTACGGTGCCCACATACCCAAGGTACGCACCACTGATCCTTCCTGTCTATGTGACCGAAGTCGGTTTTCCTTTCTTTAGCCACCGAGTTTATGATTCAGCTTATGATTCTTGGTTGTTGTTGCAGCGGAGTGATAGGTTTCATGCTCTGCTCCACGGAGGGGCCTAGTGTTGATTTCCAGCACCCTGTCTTCAGCATTGAAGAGGACGAATACTCCACAAAATCCAAGGGGCCGCTCAAGTTCTACAATTCTGAGTTCCACACTGCATCGTTTTGTTTGCCATCATTTGCGAGGAGGGTCATTGAGGCCAAGGCTAACTAGATTCTCATGAAGATGGTCACTGGAACCAAGGCCAACTAGAATAACTGGTTTGGTTTCAATTTCAACACTGGGAGCAATCTGTCTGAGCGTAGACAGAGGAAAAGCCCCCCCTTTTTTTATTAACTTGCAATAAGCCCACATGGAAATTATTGGTACCTGTGATTCTGTCTGCTGTATGTCTCAGGTTGTATTTCCTGGTTACCTGGTGGTATGAGAACCTTCTGAATTTAGTTTTTTGCCCTGCAGTTTTCTTATCTTATCTTATGCTTCCTCTGTATCAAAATGTCAGTTCCTTCCTTCAAGCGTTTTTTTTTTTTTGCAAAAACTGCCATCCATTGGATGGAGATCGTGTGATTCATGGGGGTTCGCTGGCAAAACGTCCCTGGGGAACGTCACACAGAATTTAGTAAAAACAACACCAAGCATTACTAGGTACATTTCACAGTTCAACACCGCACTGAATGATTAAATTGGTTACATTTTTGGAATCAGACCCTGCCTTGTGGACACAACACGGTTGGATTTTTGAATCAGAGGAAGACCTTGTTAATTATATATGCTTGTGTGATGTCTTAATAGGATATCCCCAACTACTTTACATAAAAAAACATAAATAAGAGTGCTATAGGAGTGCATGTTTAACGTAGCAACATGGCTGTTGGGGCTGGGGTGGGGTGGGGAGAAGCATTTCCTAACATATCATGAACAACCTGAAATTACATTTTGTACTCTCTTTGCTCCAAGATGTTAGCAAACGAAGCGAACATTCGATATTTGATGAATCCACTAGGCAGCTTAATTGTTACTCCCTCCGTTCATAATATAAGACGTTTTTGCAGTCCAACAGAGGTAGTATAAGTTACAGTACAACTCAAGTAAATGTGATAACTGTGGCACACACAAACGTACGCAACCTACAACATATGAATTAACAGGTACAGTCCATATCACTAGCAGTACAACCCATTCTAAACCAAGATGGATCCAGTGAAACCATCTGGTCCATCAATTCGTGTTCCATCATGCCTATATTGCTAATCAGTTGATCTACAAATAACACCTAGATTAAGCCAAAATAGCGAATCTGTTCTACCATTTGCCCTACTTTCTTTTTTTCTTTCTGAGCTATGCCGCTCTGAGCTAGGGATAGAGGGTTTGTGAGGTAAGTGCCTTAAGGATTATCATTTGTATGCCGCACAGTCTTTTTCCTCTCAGTGAACTTGTTGTCCATGCCAAACTCTTCTGCAAACGTCTCGATGTCAGATGCAATTTCAGAGCAACCCTTTCGACCGACAAAATGTGGGGGTTCTGTGCCGCATCGCTCAAGCCCCATAGAACTGCCAATCTGGCTGTGTAAGTCCTCCATGTCTTCTGCACCCACAGCTTGCCTCTTCGTGCCCATCTCAAGGTCCACGCTCATCTTCGGCGGGCTTAGGACCCACCCCATGCTAAGTGTTGAGGCGAAGGCTGCAGAATCCTCGTTAGCTTTAGCCCTGAAATTGTTTCTGGAGCTGGGAATCCTTGAGCATAGGATCTCGATGAAATTTTGGACCAGCCCACGGTTGTAAGGATTGCTTCTCCTATTGTAGCGGTACCGGAAGTTCTCATAAGTAGTCTGCAATAATTATTCCTTGGATTAGCATTGCACATAAACTGCAAAGACAACCAACTGTTACTACATCTACTGGACAAAAACCTGACCTGATTGGTGGAAATCAAGTAGAGGTGGAATGAGGTCAATCCTCCGACAAACCACACAGCAACGAATGTGTATAACATGAGAATGGCGGAGATGGGCGACTTCAAGATAGCTCTACCAAATGTGCACTCATGGGTGTCCATTATTTTCCCGATGTTGACCCAGCAGAATGTGAACACGTATATGCATAGCACAGTTGCTGAAGATACAAACATAAGGAAGAAGCGGTAGTTTCTCTGCAGGAAAGGAAAATCCAAAATGAGTAACATGTATGGTAATTGTTTATTATGGTGCACATATGTCCCCTTCAACATTAAGAGAAAGCATATATTTAATTACATGTGTCCCCATTCTTCTTTTTGTCCAATTTCTTTAACATAATTTAGACTTAGCATGACTACTGCTGCCTCAGCAATCCAGAAAATCTTACAGAAGTAAAACCCTCAACAGAAAGTAATTACTCATTTTTTTTTCTAATAGAAATCCTTATGTGATTGATGATCTTGCTAACACAAAAATAATGCATACCTTTCCAATACACTGCCCTACCCAAGGACAGTGGTGATCAAAACGTTCGACACAGTTATTGCAGATTGAGCAATGGGAGCACCTTGGTGGACGATAAAGCATACATGTATGGCAATATTTGACCTTAACTAAAACACCATTGACAATAACGTCCTTGGTGAGTGGTAAACCAGCTGAGCCATGTTGACCACCTGGCCAATCTGATAAGTTGGAGGATTCACCAATGTCTTCTGGTTCCGGAGGATGAGAATTACGCGGAACAATTCCAGGATCACGTCCAGACGTGAGAAGCAGAAGAACGAGAATCTGCATAACAGAAACAAAAATTGATTAGTAATCTTGTCAAGCTACAGTTACAAAATTGCGGACACGACAGCACCTCTGGTTCAATACATAAAAACACAAATGGTTACATTCTCTGCTAAGCAACTGTGGCATAACTTGACATGGTAGAAGCCAACACAAAGCATTTCAGTTCTTAAAACAGATTTGTGAGATAAGGTATTGATGATCCATATGATGCATTTGCAAGGCCGAAGGGATGGCTACAAAATTTCCAAAACAGAATAGAGAAAGGCATGAATGTGCACACAGCTAACTGGATGCACATCTCGTTAACTTACATATGCTGTAAAGATGATAGATACAGATGCCACCCAACCTCCAATTTGATTTTGGTACCCATGGGCAAGCTGTGGAGAAACAACGGCAGCAAAGATGATCACTGGGATGACAATTAAACATACTGTGGCTATGAGTGACCTCACATCAGGCCCAAAAATAAGTCTCCCTCCAAGAAAAAATATCTGCAGGGACATATAAAGAACACCCTTAAGATGAAGATAGTACCATAAATGCTATTGAATTTAAAACTTAAGAATATAAGACAATGAAGTTACGATAAACCGCCGTTTCCCACTATTAAGCCCGTCCAGTGCATTTCTAATCACAGTGAAGTTGTACAGATGTGGATAAACTCCAGAATATGTTCAACAGTTGAAGGAAACAAACTGTCGGTGCATTTTTTCGATAAAAAACTGTCGGTACATTGAGATAAAAGCAATATGAGTTTGTTTTTCGAAATGAGAGGGCTCATGAAATGTACAGCTAAGTAATGAACAGCCACCACAATACTGAATCACACACTATAAATCAACCCAAAGTCCTAAAATAATATGGTTCAAACCTTAAATCCACAATTCCCGTACATCAGAGCAGGTGCTCAGACGCCATTACGGCTCCAACCACTCATGGCCCCATCTTTTAAAATCGCTAAGAAAAAGAGAACACGATGCAATTCCTGAGTTCCTGCCCCACTAGTTAGTGCTACTGCACAATCACAAACCCAGAATAAAGGGCAAGAAATCCTCACATTGCTCCCTTTCCACGCCTGGTACACGCGCCGCGGCGGCGCCGCATCGGCCTCCATGATCCGACGGTTGGAGTCGGACAGCTGCTGCACCTTCCCCTGCATCCTCCCCTCCATCCACCTCAACCCAGACGCTCCCTGTTCCGTTCACCAAAGCACCCCCGCTGGCCGTTGCACCCGCCAGCCCCAGAATCTTGAGAAACCCTAAGCCAAGTCTGACTAGTCGCAACTTCAGAAATCAAGCGAAATGAAAGCTACACCGGCTGCAAGAACAAGCAGGCGGTTCTCACGGATCCCAGCACGAGAAGGGGAGATGCCCGGATAAAACGAAACAGCGGGAGACGGCGAGTCCGCACCTGGGAAGGAGGGTCGACGGCGACAGGAAGCTTCCCGGGAATCAAGGGGGGCGAGAGGATGGGGGCGCGTGGTGATGTCACCTTGGGATCCCAAGAAGGCGAGTGCTTGCTCGCTGAGAAGAAGAGTGGAAAAGTTTCAGTCCGAAGAGACTGTAGACTGTAGTGGTATCTCTTTTACAAACTAACACCCTGGCATTGTTTCAATCTTACAAATAGCCTCCGTTCATGTTCCCGTATTTAAATATCCTACTACTAGACGTCCTAAGGCAGGGTAAAACATTTGATAGGAGCGAAGTGAGTCTAGATCAGATGGTTGGATTCCTTATTTCAGGATGTTCAGCGATGTTTATTCAGTGGGAATAGATGTTTCTGTTGACTACAAGACGTTTGTAGTGGCTTTGTCAATCTTAAAATAATGTGTCGGCAAAGTCCCCGAGATGCTTATAGAAATATGATGTGTATTCATAGAGATGAGTGCATATATGCATATGTGAGCGACTTCGGTTGTATTGAATTAGAAATAATCATTTGATGGAAACATGTCCCTGCTGAAAGTTGAAGGTAAGGATATTAAACCAATAAGAATAATCTGAAAGAAATACGTCTGATGTTCTGTCTTTGTTTTCTCTTTTATCTGATCGTTTATGACTGGTTCTTTTGCTCCACGACCGATCATGAATTTGTAAATTGCCATATTTCCACTTTTTTGATAAATATTAATTTGAATGATTGCAAGAGAGCAAAAAAGAAAACTTACCTGAAAAGAAAAAAAAGGAAAAGAAGAATGAAAAATCAGGGAAGATAAGCTAGAAAAAAACTGCAAACTTGTTGGCCTTCCTGAGACACTGCATCTTCAATGAAAAAGGGCATCCATGTGGAAGCTTTGGTAAACATTGGCACACGTATCCCAATCCAATTCGATTTGACAAATCACCAAAATAGCTTTCGAGTCTTTTTTTTCATTACTATTCCTTTTTAGGAAAAATTATTACAAATCGCTAAAATAGCTCCCGAGTCTTTCGATTTGACAAATCGCCAAAATTTGTTTTTGGTTGTAGTCGAGTTTGTTTTTCATTCATCTAAAAAAGTTTGTTTTTCGTTCGAAAATACCAGTATATAACTTCACCTTTTCCCACTTTAATTCAAATTCTTGCGGTCAAAAGTGACATTAGTCCAAGTGCTCTTTCTTGCTAGTGGCATGGTTACTGGCTACTTGGGCACACACATCTGACATCTGGTCGATGCATAGCTTGCATGAGATTAAGCAGAAATATTATTAATATTGTAAATAAATGAACCAATTGAGAACTTAATCTTTTGCACAAATTCAATCAAAAAGAGAAAATCACTTGGAAGGAGTACAACCAAATACGCTAAGGTTGAGGGGCCAAGACTTCTCAGTTGTCATTGAGAAGGCCAAGTCGGCTCCGGTAGGGAAACGATGACATCGACGGTTTGTCTTGGCGGTAGTAGTGGTCATTCGGTGGTCTTGGAATCTTGATATAATTTTTATTATGTTTAAGATGCTTTGTAATTTTGATGAACTTTCATAATAGATTTGGTCCTTTCCGCAAAAAAAAAAAACAGAGGAGACAATGAGTAATACAAGTTTCTTACCCGCAAAAAAAAGAGAGGGGGACAATGAGCATGTAAGTACCAAACTATTGTATTACATGTAGATATAGCATTACAACTAAAATTAGGGGTCACAGTCGTTTTGTTCAAGGGTGGAAAGGTTGTCATGTTCGTGATGTCCTACAACTTCTTCTTCTTCTTCTTCTTCTTCTTCTTCTTCTTCTTATTATTATTATTATTATTATTATTATTATTATTATTATTATTATTATTATTATTATTATTATTATTATGTAAAATAAGTAGAAAAATTCCATGTTTGGTAAGCACGTAGCGTTGTTTTAATACAATTTTGTCAATAGGTACATTTTACTCCTCTCAACTTTTCGCCTCTGATCTTTTAGCTCAACTCTAACTCATCCAGAAAATATAAGTTCCAAAAACCTATAGTTTTGGGAATTAGATTTATCTAGTCCAACCTCAAGTGCTCTTTAATTCCCTAAAAGTTTTTGGGTCAAACCAAAAAAAACTTCTTCCTCCAAATTCCTTGAAATTGAGTGGGATGAAACTTTCATCTCCAACCACCCCCTCCAGCTACCGCGATTTGCCACCATTGCCCCCTCCAACCACACCGCTAGTTGTCGAGCCCTCTTCGACCCCACTGAACTTGTCACCGTCCTTTCCGACCGCACGACACCGCCAAAACATCCTCCCGAGACTGTGCCATTGTTGGCGCCTACTCCTACTGTGATGCCGAGCCTCGGTCCCCCATCAGGCAAAGCTCAAGCAATTGGTCGCCTTTAGAGCATGTCTAGCAAAGCCACTATAATATCAGCCCACAAAATCGATTTATGCTCGCCCTAAATCGATTTTGCGGGCACTTTATGCCCGGCGCAGAGCATATATCGCAAATGGACTTGCAAATTTAAAAACTTAAGATAAAACATGTTACTGCTACATTTAAATAGTCCGGACCTCACCGTAGTTCATCACACACACATTTAAACAAACTAAATCCTAAATGACGGAGGGCGGTGACGGCTCACGACTTCACATCGAGGTGGTACTCGCAGGAGGATTTGTAGATGGTGTAGACAAGCTCGTACTGCACGTGCAACAGCGCCCTCTTCGCCGGCGTCCAGCGCCTCCTTCGCGGTGAATCGTGCCACCTCCACCTCGCGAAGAGCCTTCATCGATGGCCAGAGCGTGCTGTACAACTCGTTGAAGCGGCGCTACCCACGGCTCCTGCCGCTGCGGTAGAGGGCTCTGCGGTTGCGAGCCTGCTCACGGCGCCACGACTCGACGGTGTGACCGCTAGACCTGTTGGCCTCTGCATTGTGCCGGTCGCGCTTGCATGGCGGCGACAAGCGGCGGCCCCATCGTCCAACGCCTCCTCCGCGGCCTTCTGACATTGCTCGCCGAAGCTATGCGAAAACTGTGGCAGAAAAGAAGAGGAAGGCAGCAGAGGGGAAGGAACACGACGAATCTAGATGCGAGATGGGAACCCTATATCGTCCCCTCCACATACATATACCGACTAAAGGGGGCGGTTTGTGGGCCGCCCATATAATGATTATGGGTCGCTGCAAATTTGGCGGACCTGTTCTGGCCCGAAAAAGGCCAGATACGCTATCCCACCCGCAAATATATGGACTGGTGGCGGGATAGCACACCTGCTAGAGATGCTCTTACGCTCTCTCCCAACCTCCAAGGAGTCAGCACTGGCCACCTCCCTCACTCATGGGCTCCTCTGTTGCTGCTCAAGTTGACCATCACCCCTACCAACCCAAGCAGCAACATCTCTACACTAATGACACCTTCATCCTCTTTGTTTCCCTTACGATGCCACGTCAATATAGACGAGTTTGACATGGTGGTACATAACTCAGTCCTAGAATCAATGAATCTACAACCATACTAGTACATAAGGGCATCTTCAACACCACCCTCGAAAAGGACACACTATTTGCCCATGAACTAGTCCGGACTTGTCCGTGGACACGGATAGAAGAGCCAACCATCCAACCCTTTCACCGAAACATCCCCTCTTTTTTTCCTACAGCCTGGAACATTCAAAATAATTATAGAAAATAGCATAGTTCATCCATGAATAACATGTACATATTCCAAGTCCAAATGTATATATTACATTCGAGATGTTCAACAAGTTTTTCGAATTCAACGATACTCGAGTCATAATCTGCACATTTTGTCCCACACACTGTGCCCCTTGAGCTTCATCAAATGTACGAATTTAAATGGCCTGCCCCAGGTCCTATGGTACATCGCATCAACATGCCTGGGCTATACAACATGATGATTATCAAGTTGCAACATTGAGTGAATTAATGAATTAATCAACATGAAGAGCAAAAAGAATAAAACATTACAATCTCAATGGTTTGCGAGCCCAGTGGTCACCTTCTCTCGACTTATGAAATCGCACCACAAAACTTCATGACGGAGTTGGAGATGGTGTACCATTGTTGGGCTAGTGACTTCACATCACGTTCAGGGATCATGTGCAAGTCGTATGCATGAAGTGCTTTTGCTCGTGAAACGAAGCATGCATGTTTGCCAAATTGCCGAGCCCCCTTGCCCCATGCCTACAAAGTCCGTAGATACGACCTTCCACGCACTGCACACCAACTCATCCTTCATCACCGAGTACCCCGCCATCGTGCTTACTCTAGAAAATAACAAGAAGGTAAAAAAAGCTCAATGGCATTTGAATGGACACCTGCCGGGCATGGTGTTCACCGTGGAAGGCATCGAAAGGGAAGCGGAGCATACCTGACTGCAAATGAATCTTGGGTGGACAATGACGTAGTCCAAGGTGGGTAGGCGCGTGGGAGCGGGCTTCGGACATCCGACAATGCCTGGGAGGCCACCGGAGAGGTACAACGGCGGTGTCGGATGAGGAGGGTGCGGGTGCAGAGTAAGGGGGGAGTAGGGCTAGAGTGGAAGAAAAGTGGCCCCAGGGTGTTAGAGACCTATGTGGAGGAGGTCAAGATACCCGCAAACCTCCCCTAGTTTTCCTGTGGCTTGTGGGACCTCATAAAAGCGGATGCCTCTGCGGACAAATACTGGTTTGTGTTGGATGGTAAACTACGTCCAAACAACTCGGTCCGGATGTATATGTGCCTCTTAAGGGTTGGCATTGAAGATGACCTAACACCTTATTAG